GTCTCTCCCAGGGCAGGGGGTTGGGACTGGATGGTCTTTAAGGTCCATTCCAACCCCTTAATGTTCTATGATTTCTTCTCAACAGCTGTGCGTTCTTCTACGTGTCTCCAGACTTCTATCACTGCCCTGCTCGAGAGCACCAGGAGCCCTCAGACACAGACTCCTGCCCTTGGGACGGTGCTCACCCTACTCCTGCTGCTCCTGCTGTCGCCAGCACTGCTGTGCTGCCTTTGCTGAACAGGTGAAACCATCACTGTCTCTTATACATGTGGTGCTTCTACCTGCAAACCCTGCATGGTCACCTGGGCATGGCTGGCCAGGCAGGGACCCCCTCCATGTGTCTTGCTCCTAAACTGGAGCACAGCCTCATCCCACAACTAGATGTGAAACTGGGGCTGGTGGGGCTGTTTATCCACCTGGGGGAAGGTGGGAGGACAAGAGCACTGTCCACCCCACAGGAAGTATGTGAGCTCCCAGGTGGCAGGGAACGCTGTGTGCTGCCCTTTGCTCCTGAGCTGCACCACGTGGTTGGGGTGCAATCACCTGGGAATGACGAAGAATGGACTTGGAGGTAGGAGGTGGGTTAAATGTGCTTAGAGTGTGGCTAGGACGGAGCCCAAGCTGAGCTGTGGAAGGCACCCTCGTGCATGGGTGTTATGAGGCACTCCTAAGTCCTTTCCCAGACTGGCTCCTTTAAGGCACAGGAAGATCTTCATGTGAGCATTAGGGAAACCAACAGACTGACTTCATGCATTTAGACAGATTCTTACAGCTTTGCTCACCAATGTCATCTTTAACTGTTTGCCTTGGTGCCGTTACAGCCTGTTCAAATGCTGTGTTACCTGTAATCTGAAACACATGCACATCAAAATCCCCAAAGCCCTCACTTTAAACATAATAGCATTTTTAACTGTTTTGCTTCTCACACAGAGCATATACTGCTCAGCAGCTGAGGGAACTGGCATGCAAGTACTGAAGGATTTGGCAGGAAGGCACATGTAACATAGTCTGTCACCCTGATGCTGCCCTGTTCTTTAAAAAGGGTGATAGGAGCTATCCAGAGTTCGTGTATGTGGGTGAACTTGCATCTCTCCACCCGTGTTCTCAGCCTGTACCATTCCTTGGAGATATCTTTATGTGCCATTTCTATTACAAGATGCCTAGTGAGAAAAGTAACTTGTAGAGACCATACACTACAACACAAAGCCACTCTGTCACACAAGTGTTATGACAAAAAAGCCATGCTATACAATATTAGTTCACAAGCCCGGAAGAAGTTGTGTTGCATTTTAATGCCTAGGATCCAAACTTTTTACAGCTGAAAATGCAATACTTTTGCTTGTTGGAAACATTTTCCTTCCTACTCCTCTGTCATGGTTTAACCCCACCCAGAAACGAAGCACCACACAGCCACTCACTCACTTCCACCCAGTGTGGTGAGATGGGGAGAGAACAGGAAGGGTAAAAGTGAGATATCTCCTGGGTTGAGATACAGACAGTTTAGCAGGTAAAGCAAAAGCTGCTTGCATGCAATAAAGCAAAACAAGGAATTAATTCACTGCTTCCCATGGGCAGGCAGGTGTTCAGCCATCCCAGGACAGCTAAGCCAAGTACATAACAGTGATTTGGGAAGACAAATGCGATCACACAAAATGTCCTCCCCTTCCTCCTCCATCCCACAGCTTTATCTGCTGAGCATGATGTCAGCTGGGGTCAGCTGTCCTGGCTGTGTCTCCTCCCAATTTCTTGTGCACCCACCGCCTCATTGCTGGTTGGGATGGTGTGAGGAGCAGAACAGGCAATGACTCTGTAAGCGCTGCTCAGTAGTAACAAACCCACCCCTGTATTAGCCACACTGTTTCCAGCACAGATCCAGAGCATGTCCCCACACTAGCTACTGTGAAGAAAACTAACTTCATCGCAGCAAACATCAGCGCATCCTCCAATTTGTCAATGTTCATGAAAACTTTGCATGAGTTATTTTTCACCACTTCAGTCCAAATACTGGTTAAACATTTGTAGTGCTTCCCCTTCTGCCTCCTCAGGATGACTCAGTGGTTTCAGCTACAGCAACTTGATTCCAAGTTTTTGGAGCAAGTTCACCAGCTATACGATGACAGCTTTCCTATGGAGATCAGACAGTACCTGGCACAGTGGCTGGAAAAGCAGGATTGGTAAGCATAAAAATTAGCCTTTGGGTTGTGTGATGAAGAATGTCATACATGACATGTCAGATGTCATACATGCAGTTACGGGCAGCAGCAGAATACTGGAGAAGCAAGCTGCTAGATGAACTTTGCTGGTAGGATGCTTCAGTAACTGTGTGGGTGCTATAGCATGTGTTCCTGCCCCTCTTCAGGGCTTTCTAGAGGGGCCTGACACATGAAGTAACAAGTGTCCTAGCTTGTACTCTCAGTTGGTCTACAACTAGAGCAGCTGTTTTAAGACTGATCAGTTACTACCTTGGTAGCTCAGTCTCATGGTGTTCAAAGACTGAACTTCTGCCAAAATTTCTGTGGAGTGTCTTCTGTTTGAAGAGTGGTACAACATGCAAATTAATCAGGTTCACTTTTAGGTTCCTGTGTGGAATGAGTGTGGAATATGTGTGGAATGAGTAAATGATTCTGCACAGAATGTAGCATTAATAGTACAGAGAAAAACAACATTTCAGTATCAAAGAAAGTAAAGTCAAAGTTAAGAGAATGAAACTGGCTTACGTTTGAAGGTAATTCTTACTGATTGCATATTCTGCAACTGGAGTTGGGGATTAAAAATATATTATGCCTGCATTTCTTGGATGCTGTACTGGAAATGTATTTGACACAAGCATGCTTTACATTATTCTAGGGATTATGCAGCCAGCAATGTATCTTTTGCAACATTGTTATTCCACGAGCTGCTGTCACAGCTTGATGATCAATTTAGTAGATTCTTGGTAGAGAACAACTTCTTGCTGCAACACAACATAAGGAAAAGCAAACGTAATCTTCAGGTATGTCTGAGTTCTATACCTACACAGTTGCTTGAATTGCTTCAGTAGGGCAAAATGGATGCCTCTATGCAAACTACCCTGCCATGAGGCATTTTTACAGAAAATGCATGAGAATACTAATTTAAAAGCCAGAATCCAAATGTTGCTCCGTTTTTGTTCTAATTGGCTAAAGTAAGAAATCAATTTTGTTACTGGTACAAGTAGTTTCTGAGAACTCTAGGAAAGAGGAAAGTTGTAGTTTGCAATGTGTTTACTGTATGTATTTGAAGCACTTACTCATCTGTAGTTTCACTTACCCTGCCCCTTCCTTATCCAGTTACCTCAGTGTCCTAATAAGCTTCTGATGTGATGAAACACAGGGAAAGAAATCCTTCCTGTGTAACTGCAGGACTGTAGTTAATAATAGCAAAGGACTTGTCCTTAGGCAGCACTCTGCATTGTACTGTACTGACAAAGAAAAGGGCCAGTGCTGTTGCTAGTGAGTGGCAGTGCAGAACATATCTTTAGTGGACTTATTACTTTCATTAGTCAGTCCTCCCTTTAGGGCTCTATGTCAGAGGGTATTCCATAGAGTCACCTTCACCACAGTCTATTTCCAACACACTGAGCTTCTCCTCACCACGAGTCAGTGACCTGGGGACTGTTTTCTGAGGCGATGCGAACATGACCAGGCTGTACTTATCCAATAATAACTATAGATCAGCAATGAAAGATCAGTCAAGAAGGCTGGTAGCTGGTATAGCTCAACAACTCCCCTCCAGCACCATCCTGAGCAGAGCAGGGCAGTACTCAGTCCACAGCATGTTTCAACTTTGTATGCATGTAAAACAGTAAGGTTGAATTTGTATCCAGACTTAACTGTGTGTTCATAAACGGCCGCTAACATACCTTCTTTACGTCACTGAGCAAGAGCTGTACCTGCCAGACTAGACCAGCTGCCCTTCAAAACCATATGTGACAGATGTGGCAAGGTGGCTTTCAAGAGATGAGCTCTCTCTAGGACTGTAGGGTAGTATCTTGCTTCCCCCAGTAACGTCTGAGACCCTTCTCTATTATTTTGTGACAGTCCTGTCTCTTAGAAACTCACTCTTGGAGGTGGCTGTCACACCCTGTAGTCTTGGAGCAGGCTGTGGCCAGTGTGTGCCCTCACATACAGTTGCTCGGTAATCATTTTGCCAATCTGAAGGTTACCGAAGGACAAGAAATGAATTGTATGAACTTTAACAATAGACTGTCTCTAATGCCAGGATAACTTCCAAGAAGACCCAGTACAAATGGCAATGATCATCCACACCTGCCTGAAAGAAGAGAGGAAAATACTGAGCAGTGCCCAGTTGTCAAATAAGGTAACACTCTTGGAATTCTACTGCAGTTGTATCTACCCTTTCCTATTATTTGGGACGAGGGAGTAGATGAAGACTGAAAGGGGAAAGAGGCTCTCTGCCCAATAATATATTTCTTAAAGACAGAAGAGTGAGCACTGATATGTACTAGCTGGACAGCATGGCTTGATTCTTCTGTATGAAGCATTTGGATGGGAATTGGCCAAGAAATAATTTTTATTCCTTAAGTGAGGTAAAAGCTATTCTGTTTTTTTAATGCTTGTGTTGAATAGTCTGATGGGCTCACTGGATTTTAGTTCAATAATTAGTGCTGGCCTTATTTTTCCAGTAGGATTTTAGCTTCTGTTTTTTCTGCATCTTACTCCTGAATTTACTTTGTATTAAGAAGCTGAGCCTTAGTGCTTCTCTTTGGGAAAAATAATGCATCATTCTCCTTCCTGGCCATCTCCAAGTATTTCTTTCTATTTTTGGTTGTGATGTTGGTTGATTTTTTTTTTTTAAAATGAAGCCCATTTCTTTCTTCTGAATCATAGGTAAAACCATATTCTCCATCCTCATCTCTTCTCCAACTTCTCATATTTTTATTTTTATCTTTGCAAGAACTGTTTGGCAATAAAAATTCTGCAGTTGGGAAGAGCATGCCAAGTATATAGATAGATGTAATCCACTTATGTAGAAATAAAGTGATGACTGACCAAGCACATTAGTGTTCTGATACTGAAATACTTCAGTTTATTGCAAGTTTTTGAATGTGTGTTGATAGTGTGGGAAGAGCTCTTGGGCATGGGATTTCAACATGCAACAGTGTCCAAAGCAGCTGCTCTGCAAATGTGGCTCTGACAGAGCCCTTGTAGCTGCAGCACAGCTGTTCAGTTCTGGCACAGGAAATGAAGCACTTGCAGTATGCAATAAGTTTGGGTCATCAGAAAGGGAAATGGAATCATAGAATGGTTTGGGTTGAAAGGGACCTTAAAGATCATCTAGCTCCAACTCCCCTGCCGTGGGCAGGGACACCTTCCACTAGACCAGATTGCTCAAAGTCCCATCCAACTTGGCCATCACTTCTATCACTGCTAACTGTTGATGTGAGGTACACCACCATGTCCTACCTCTGCTTGCTTAACTATTCTCATTTCCAAAAGCTGAGAAGATAAAACACAGAACAAGCAAAATAATAGGCATCATAAAAACCGAAGGAGAATCCCAAATGAGTATGCTAATAATAGCCTGACTTAAATCTGTGATGGGGCCCCTTTGGCAGTTTACCAGAATAAATACTTTAGATGACCTGAGCATAAGGTGAGGCGTTCATCAGAGCAGCAATGCATAGCTGTCTGTCCTGCATTGTTAGAAACAGCAAGTTTCTAACACCAGTAGTACTGTTAGTGAAAAATCCTGTCTTTCACATTACTGCAATTCTGAGTGATGTCATGCAATAAACTTCCTGAATGATACTGAGGGCAGCCTTCAAAGAAACTGTACAGAGGCATAGAGTGTGCTTGAATACCCTGTAGGAAAGCAGTTGCATACCAAGTTACCCCATTTGCCTGTACACAGACCTATCTTGGCTCATTTCTCCCCGTATCCTGTATGGATGAATCTAACACTGCATGTAGATGTCATCCAGCCTTCAAAGATGGTTGTTTTCTTAAAATACGTTTAGGAGACACACAAAGATAAGCAAAAAAAAAAGGAATGGATTTGTGCAGAGAAAAAACAGATATTGCTGTGATGAAAGAACTGCAGCATTGCCACACAAGAGGCATTTTTAATCCTCCCTTGTTTCTTGCAAATTCACCTGAACTTGACCTTAGTATGACTCATCAGAACAAGCCATGCTTCCTTCGGGTTGTTTGTCCACAAAAGCCACTAACATTAATGAAAAAAATATTTGCCATCATGGATCACTCTGGTTTGACTTCTGTTGTTCTTCTGTTTCTTCCCTCAGATGGAAGTGGGAGGTGTACAGAACACTATGACTGAGATGCTGGACAAACAGAAGGAGTTTGATGCCAAAGTTAAAGCTGTTAAAAACAGTGTTATAGTAAGTCTACTATAACTTTTCAAAGTAGCATTTGTTGATTCACAGATGCTGAAAAGCTTTCAGGACATAAGACTTGATAAAATGACAAATGAAAACAAGGCAATGGTTTGGTTTTCAGGTCTACAAATTCTCTGCAGATAGATGGTAATTAATTGTTAGTAGCACCATAATACAGATTGGTATTTGACTGGTTTAGCAAGATCAGTTTCTTTGTGTCGAAATTTTAGGAACAAAAACATTTTACCCATCTCAAATACTAGCAACTGAGAAAAAACTCCTGAGAAATCATATACTGATCAATTTTTGTTAACTAGAAGATACATTTTCATTTAGCATACAGATGTTTATTGTCTTAACAAGCACAGTCATAACAGAAAGCTTTTCTCCTAACATTACTTAAGAATTTGGAAGTTCAAAGTGCAGTTTGATATTTTTCCACTGTAGCCTAGGTTCTCCTAAATTCTGTGAACTTTTCTGGCTGCACAACAGGGGCTTTCCCATATTTTATAATTTAACAGATTTTAGTTAGCTGAAAAGAGGGGAGGGAGAGTGACTAGGAGGTGATTAGGTTCAGGGATGTTTCCCGATAGGGAAAGGCATTGCTACAAAACTGGACTTTTTATCTGTAAAGGGCTAGTACCAAGAAGTTCCTAATGATATGTAGTCTTGCATTACTTGAAAATATTGAATAACTGTGGCCACCTTCATTTGTGCTTTGTAGGACGTGGAGCAGGTCATCAAGACATTAGAGGATATGCAAGATGAATATGACTTTAAATATAAAACCTTTCAAAATAGAGGTGAGTAATTTATCAAAGACTAAAGCCTATATAGTTTGTCAGAGTAAACTCTGCTATCATGTCAGGATACTACACCTAATGATATACAGCCAAACTTTCTGGTAATGTCCCTCCTTTATTAATTCTGCTTTATGCTGAAACCTAAATTTCTGAAAATGCATTCTCTGCATCTGTCTTTTGTTACAAATAAGAGAGCTCCTTGTCAACACATTATTCCTTTGTCCTTTGCATCACTTTGCCATTAGAAGTAGTAAGCCCTATAGACTCTGACCTTTCAACCGTACACATAATTAGTTAAGTTTAGACTTCTCTTTACCATCTTGTATTTCACAACTGCCTTCCTGCTTCAGGTTTTATGGCACTTGTGTACTGAAGGCAGCACATGTAGCTGTAGCCCACCCTGGTTTCATTTTACATATTTGTCTCCCTTGTTGACTTCTTTGTGCTAGAAAAGGCTTCAGTGTCCAACACAAATTGGTAGCTGGCTATCCCTCAAGAGTGGGACATATACAGAAGATACTAAGGGAAGCACTGAGCCACGATCTTACTCTTCATACTTGGGGCAGGTAGTGCTTCCATGAGGCAAATGGGAGCCCCTAACTTGAGGTCAGTAGGCAGCAGAGGTAGAAGCTAGGGCAGTTGCATAGGCTCTCTCAACCTGGGCTACCCTCAGGAGTCTGTAAACATCCCCCTTTGAAATAACAGTTAACTTCTGTTGCCAGGTTAAGTAATATGAATGATTCATGTCTGAAGTCAGAGTGAGAACAAATTGCTCAGTATGAATCTTCACACAGTATAATCATTACTTTAAATCAGGTTCTTGCTCTAAAAAGCAAGCAAACTCACAGCTTAATCAATTCACTGGGATAGTGGCTTTTCCTTGCATTAATGCTTTAGGTGTGCACTCTGCCCTTCCAGAAGGGAGAAAGGAGGAATCAGAAAAATCTAGGAGGCAGTGAACATTTCCTTCCTTAAGCTTTAAAGATATACTTCACTTGTCATTAGCCAGACAGGTCTCCTTCTCCCCCCAGCATTTCTCCCACCCATCCTTCACTGTTCTTTCAGCCTCACATTCACAATTTGGACTTATTTTACAGAACATGAATCCAACAGTGTGTCTCACGAGGAATATAAGAAAGAAGAGATAAATCTCAAGATTATGTTGTCATCACTTAAACTCAAGAGACAGGTAGTGCTCAAATTTTCTTTCAGAAGGCAATAGCTTTTCATTTTAAGCACAGTGAATAGATAGAACAAATTATCAGTAGAAAAGTTTTTTTGATATATCAGTTGAACTGTCAGGTAAAACTAAAAGTCCTATCAATAACCATGTTTTTGAGGAAACCCTGACTAAAAATCTAGAATCTCTGTAAGCAATTTTATTTCTCTTGTGGCAACCTTTATCAACTCTGCCATGTAAAGCTAAAAGAAGGAAAAGGTGCCATATCAATAATCATGTTCTTGAGGGAAAATGTTATTAAAAATCTGCAGCTGTATTAAATTGCAGGTGTATCCAAGTTAAATATAGTCTCATTGCAGTGTTCAAATCTACAGCAAGCACTGAGTGAGCACAAATGTAGACTTGGGAGATAAATGGATGCAAGACACCGGCTCTTCAGAATTCAGCAATACTGAATGTGCTTTGTTTCTCCACTTAATCTAGCAAATACTTCAGCTAAAAATAAAAAAGCAGATGTTTTTAGAAAACATCTGTTGACAGAAACTTCTTTGAGGCCTTTGTAGAGTTTTGCAAGACAGATGAACACAGCTAAAGCAGTACTTGGTTTTCTTGTATCAAGTATATTTAATAAAGAGAGTAATTTAATATTGTCTGTAGGAAGTGGTGAACAAGATAGTACAGCTACTGCACAACACAGAGCACACACAGACTGCTCTCATTAATGATGAGCTGGTGGAGTGGAAGCACAGGCAACAGACTGCATGTATTGGTGGCCCACCCAATGCCTGCCTTGACCAGCTGCAGAACTGGTGAGTCTCTAGTCAAGGACTATGTTTGAAACATGTTATGAAGGAACACCAAATCTATGAAATACACTGATTATTTATATGAAGCATTTTCACTCTGTCACAGCATAACTACATTCGATTCATTTTATTACCTTCTCACATTTCCAGTGAGCACGAAGTGTTCTCTGTGCACTGCCTAGTCATCAGGGACAGTCACCTGGCTGATTTCTCTGCATTGTTACCATACAAAAACGTGCTAAAAGTAATAAGATTGTGTAATTGTAGGTTCACCATTATTGCTGAAAGTCTACAGCAAGTTCGTCAGCAGCTCAAAAAGCTCGAGGAACTGGAACAGAAGGTTACCTATGACTCTGATCCCATCACAAAAAACAAACAAGTTCTGCAGGACCGAACACATAGTCTTTTCCAACAACTCATCCAAAGGTAACAGGCCAGAAGGGTCTTTTTTTGATCTGCATGAATAAATAGATGGAGTGTATCTTCCCTACTGTTCTTGCTTGCTAACTTTGCATATTCTGAGGTTTTTCTAAGTTTGTCACAAACATTAAATGTCTGGTTTTGAGATTTACCCTGTCTAGGGTTTCCACAGGTTCAGGCCCACGGAAAGGGTTTCTGATCAGTCATTGTTTAAGTTAGCAGGAGCTTTGCATTGATTACAAAATCAAACTCCTGGTCTGCTAGTCCATGTCTTACTTCAAGCTTCAGCCCTGCCAAGTTTAAGTAAAGGGAGGCAAGAAACAGTCCACATCAAGCTATGCCCAAGATAAATACACGCAAGATTCTCCAACCCTTTGTCTCTGCACACATCCTCTTTGCCTTCAGCACAGAGAGGAAAACCTTACCTCTATACCATCTCTATGATGCAAGTTACTGCAGCTGGTAGTTGCCCCATATAAGAGCGGAGTCCCATTCTGTAAACATATAGCAGACCAAAATGAATGCTTCACAAGACTTGAATTTAGATATGAATTTAGAATTTGAATGCAGATAAGAGCAGGGGCCAAGGTAGAGTAGTGAATACCCTGTTTTGGGAGCTAGAACCCAGGTTTTCAGAGTCCCATTCAGATGCTTTGGTTACAGATATTCAGCTGGAAAACACAGATACTGCTTTTTAGTTAAATGAAGGCAATAAGAAAGAGCTGTAGAAATCCAGCTGCTGTTTACATATCTTTCCTGTGAGTACAGTGTAAGGAAAAGTATCCATGCTACAAGGATTTATATCTACACAGCACAATGCTACACAAGAAGTGCCCAAGATGGCAAACTTAGCGTGTATCAGAATGGATAAGGCTCATATATTTGCTTCCTGGGGTTAGCTAGCCTTCATCAAATCCCCAGCTGGTATATCTGTCTCATGGGCACATGTTACATAGCACTGTCACCATAAGAATTCAGCCAGCTCTGGGAATGGCAAGCAAAGCAACACTCCTCACTTGGACTATGCTAATTACATCACAGTGTTTCCTTCCTGTTTGATTTCAGGGAAGTTTGGTGTAGCAATATCCCTACTCAAACCATCTGTGTATTTAAGAAAAGCCAACCCTTATGAAATCACTTCATACTTGCAGTGTTTCTAGCCTCATTGAAACAATTGAAAGAAACCAAGACAGACACCTCTGTAGATTGAAACTGAATTCATGAAGTGTATGATAAAAAAAAAAGTGGTAAATCAATGTTCTTTTAAAGTTTTCTTTTAATGTAATTTCTTACTCCTTAAGGACAACGTTGATAAGTCAAAGTGCCTTTAATCTGTTCTTCCTATAGCTCATTTGTGGTAGAGAGGCAGCCTTGCATGCCAACACATCCTCAGAGGCCACTAGTCCTGAAGACAGGAGTACAGTTCACTGTAAAGCTGAGGTATGTGTTCCCCTTCCCTGTTCCTGTTTTGTGGTAAGGCTTTCGTGTCATTGGCTTCCTACAGCCAAGAGGATTGCACAGCCTGCACTGCAGCCTGAGTGCAAAGGTGAGGAGGAGGAGAGTGCCATGTGCAGGGGCATTTCATCTAGCAGAGCTTAACTGATATTCAGCTTTGACCCTTTACCAGAAGTGGGGCGTACTGAGTGTGAAAGAAGCACAAGCAACCAGCAGAAGACACATGCAGACCACTTTGTCATGCAAAGAGTAACTCATTTTCCCATTTAGTTTCATCTCTAAATGCTGTCTTGTATGGAGCATGCTTGAAGCTTGTATCTAGCCTTGAGTGTGCTGTTTAAACATCTGTGATAAACAGTGTGATAGAAGAGAACCCTTCTTTTCTAATTGCTGACTTTTAAAAAAAATGTATATTTCTCTTTCTAGATTGCTGGTGAAATTGCAGGAATTGAACTACAACTTGAAAGTGAAAGCTTTATTTGATAAGTATGTTGCATTTTTTTAATCTCTCTGTACAATCCCCATGTTTAGAAACCAAAGGGCAGTCCTAGTTTAAGTATGGAGTAGGCCAGGAGTAGGCCAGGAGCAGGCTGGTTCTCTGTGGCAGCAGGTACATCCTTCCTTTTTTCTTACTCATGCCATTGCTCTAAATCACTCCCTGCCATTAGAGACATGTCACAAACATAGAATTCTGCTCTGTTTCCAGTCATGTCTCCAACATGTCTTGCTTTTTGGGTAGCTTCTATTAAGGAAGCTTCTATTAAGCTGTCCTTGAATTAGAGGTATAAGCAATCTACCTGTAACACAGAACATGTTCTCAATTAGAGAAAAATATTACAGCCATCTAAACAGATTTATACCAATCTTTTGTATTTTTATAAGCAGTTCAGGTGCATTTAGCACTTACTTTAAGGGCATGGAAAGAAACCTAACAGGCTCTCCCAAATAACAGCAGGGACTGTGCTTTTAAGAAAGCAAGTGGTGGTTTGTCTTCCCATTTGAGTAATTTTGTTCACTTGAAATGGGTCTGGAGTCCAGAAACTAGCATGGAATAGGGAAAAGGTATAGAAATTCTCATGTGGATGTGGAAAGTGAGGCTGTGAGAAGTGCAGCAGATAGAATATAAGTCGGTAAAATCCTGAGTGGTGGGAAAACCAATTCAAGTGATGTTGCAATTCAGTCAATGAGTTGTATGGCTTAAAAGCATATTTAGAGTGACAAGACAATGGGGTTTTTTCCTCAGAATAAGAGTTAAAGTCTCTACAATAAAAGAAAGTGTTTATAAAGCCCTCATAGCAACATGTAAGTCTCAGTAAAAAACAGCCTCTGTAGCAAAATATTTGTCTGCTTGGACCAATTGCCTCCTCTTTTGCACAAAAATTTCACAAAAGAGTTTTACCAGTTCACAGTCAGCTACTAAAACAAATACAATTTCTCTCTCTGTAGCAGAATCTTTAAAAGATTTTTATTTTGTCTTTTTTTTTTTTTTTTCTCGACAGAGATGTAACTGAGAAGAACTCAGTCAAAGGGTATGTGGCATCACAGTTTGGTATGGTAATGTTAGGTTCTTTCCATGATTGCAAAACTTAATTATTTTTCCTCTCTCTAATTGTAAAGGTTCAGGAAATTTAACATTTTGGGAACAAACACAAAAGTAATGAACATGGAAGAATCTACTAATGGAAGTCTAGCAGCAGAATTCAGGCACTTGGTAGGGGATTTGTTTTTCTTTTATTGATACAGCCATTTAATTCTGTGGGTAGAGAGTGTGGTAGAAAGGAAACAAATTGCTTTTGTTATTGAAGTCATTATTTGCTTTTGTCTAAGAGAAAATGTGATTATCTGTCCTTTTTATTTCTTCTTTCCCTTTTGAAATATTTGGCCTATTTCAAGCAAAACGCAATTGCATGTCACTGAAATAGAGACAGAAATGCAAACAAGAGTATTTACTGCCATACAGCTTATGCTGGAGTGGGTTCTTTGGAGGAGGAATTAAAAAGAGCCTAGAAATGCTGGTTTAGGCCTTTCAGAGGCCTGTAGGTAGGGAAGCTTGGAGTAGTTTAAAGAGCTTTGAGTCTGGAAGGTTGCCTAGAAGTAGGCAACTACAATAAAGTCAGAACCTTGAGCAGACTATACAACACTTTTGATCTGCAATTGTGAGATCAGTCACATTGATTCCATCATTACAACAGCAAAGGCAAAATGCAAGTCCAGAACCAGTGAACATGGACATCTCTTGTCATTGTCTGGAACAGACACTGTTTAGAGTTTATCATCTCAAAGAGGAGTGCTTTGATAAACCAATATTACATCTGATTCTGATTTCACACATGTGTAATGCCACATAAAGGCATTACATCATAACTGCGCAATATATATTTTCACAGATGAATAGTTTATAAAAGAGTAGTAGTTACCTACAGTTTAATCCTTTGGCTTCCACAGCTTAGAACCAAATAGAATCAGTGCAGCAAGTCTGCATACAATTGAGCAACTAGAGCATGCAAACATTTCTGTCTTCCACCACTTCCATTTGTGGCTGATGTAAATGAGTGACAGTTTTTTTTGTTCATTTGCAGCAACTGAAAGAACAGAAAAATGCAGGAAACAGAACAAATGAGGTAAGCAGCACTAACCTTGTTTGTAAAGGTTTTGCATAATACTAGGAAGGCATTCAGGTATTTAAGACAATGCTCTCTGCTCAGCCCCACGAAGACACACATATGATGACAGATCATAGGAGAGGAGTTCAGTGGTTCTGGAAAATGATCTATGTAGGAGGTGTCTGCAAGTGAGAACTACTGCCAGGATGGCAGTGAAGAGCTCTCACTCACTGGCATCTAGCTTTAACAGGACTTTCTGGCAAGCAAAGTTTTCCCTATGGCTCCTAAATAAAATCCAAAACAAAGGGCCTAGAGAGGCAGTTTTCAGGAAGTCAGCATTGTCATTTGACTTAGACCTGGAAGCTGTTACTGAGGTCTAGAGCAGGTAACCTTGGGCAAAAAAAAGGGTTTTCCCTGTGCTGAAACCCCATTACCTTCCAGCTAGGAATTTTCAGTCCCGCAAATGTTTTCTTTTAATGTTTTGTTTAAAGGGTCCTCTCATTGTAACAGAAGAGCTTCACTCCCTGAGTTTTGAGACACAGCTGTGTCAGCCTGGCTTGGTAATAGACCTAGAGGTATGTATTAAATGAAACAGGTGGACTTAAATTCCTGTATGTCATGCTGACGGTCTAAATAATTTTTTAAGTACTTTCAAGCACTTTCAGTCATTTCAAAATATGTGTTGACACTTTGCGACACATCTCTATAGACACGAGAATGCTCTCGGATCTCTGGGCAAATGAGTAGATGTGCTTTGCAAAGTGTCTGATAACCAACCCTGTGGTTTAAGCCCTCTAGGTGTCCGTTTCCATTTGTTTCAGGAGAAATATGCTATCAAGTCTGCTGTTACCATCAGGGCTGTCGTAACTGACACTAAGTCAAAGTCTTTATTAGACAAAAATCACTCTAGTCTTTCTAGTACTTCATCATAGTGATGTTTTCTCCCCTACGTACAAACTTTGAGTGGAAAAGTTAAGACCACGCAAGCAGGGAATTAAAATGGAAATGGGTGTGTGGGTAGTCTCAAGAAGGATTGCAGCATCAGTACAGGGTAGCCTGACATGTTTCCTTTTGTGCCCCTTTCAGACCACATCCCTTCCCATTGTTGTGATCTCAAACGTGAGCCAGCTTCCCAGTGGATGGGCTTCTATCCTATGGTTCAACATGCTGTCTACTGATCCCAAGGTATTTTCAGGATAAACAAAGTTATATCAAGTACTGTGTGTGATTTTGAGGCATTGTCTGTATACAAGGCTGCTGCATTTTTTTCCCTGGAGGTAGCTCTTAATGGATTTCAGGTGTAGAGAGAGGCACAGTGCCTTACTTCCTTATCCTAAACAGAGCAACGTTTGAAACCACATAAGGGTAGTATACATTATATTCAGTATATACACTACATTGTGAAGAGCCAAATAAACATTCAAGAACTCAAATACAGTGCACTTGAGTAATCCAGCAGTTCTACCCACTGGGAGAAGATGTGTCCAAAGGAGAGCCCCAGGGGTTGCTTTTCCTGGTGAAGAGTGCCTGTCAGAAGTGGTCTTGCAGAGTTGTCCCAGGCTGACATCTGTTCTCAAATCTGTATTTTGTTTTGGCAATACACTCCTCTAAATTCAGGTGTCATTCCAAAATTAATGTTTATTAACTGTAGGTTGTATTTTTCCCTTCCATTCTAGAACTTGTCCTTCTTTCTGAATCCACCTTGTGCCAAGTGGTCTAAACTTTCTGAAGTTCTGAGCTGGCAGTTTTCTTCCATAACAAAGAGAGGACTTAATGCAGATCAGCTGAGCATGCTGGGAGAGAAGCTACTTGGTATGGTCTGTTTTCATCACAGATGTCCTGTTCGATCTGAAGCTAATTCTACATCTCTTCTGCAATCCATTTTCAGTTTTCATTTCCTCTCACATCTTTTCCTCTCATCACTTTGTATCAATGAAGCATTTTCCACTTTTTCAACATGGTAGAATTTGTAAATGAGATCAGGTCAGGAAGAAAAAAAATCTGCTGTTCTGACATAAACATTTTATGCATTAGAGCAATACAGATTGAGACTACTGCTGGCCTTTGAAGCAGCACACGTTTAGTCTCTAAAGTGGCTGTTTCTTGGCATTTTTTTTGTTTTGTTTTTAAATCCACCTTCATTCATTTTAGTTTCATGCATACCCCCAGCTACAGTGGGTGTTTATCTGCATAAACACAGTTGCAATATCAAAGTGCAAACACTATGAAACTGTTAAAGGATATCAAATTGAATATCTCCCAGGCAAGAGTCCTTAGTAAGGGCTTAATCAGACATGAGTATTGTTTCCAAAATCCTGGTCATTACTGACTTTGCATAGTAGACTATAAAGAAAAATACTGTTGATTCAGTATATTCCACCAACCTTAAGTTTCAGGAAGCATTTCTGTTTAAAGGGATTTGACATTATTGGGTGGCAAGTACAGCGTTCCAGTCTGCAATTCTCTTCCTCTAATTTCCCCAGAACATAAGTTCTAACAAAAAGCTGCTCATTTAGTAGATATTTTTTAGTTTCATTGTCCATCACAAAGACAAAGAGACCAGTGACAAATTTCTGTGGTCAACTTCCATTTCAGAACTACAGAGATTTTGTCAAGCTCTGGTAACAGTAGGGATGCTACTTTAAATCTTCTCTCTATAGATAAAAATATCACACTGCTGAAAAAATCCTGGTAATTGAACACGATATATTGAGGATTCCTTAGTGTAAGGAGACACAGAAATAACAGGATGCCAGGGTACCAGTTGCCCACTGTTTTGCAATGTGAAAGTTGACAGAATTTTGATCTCTTAACGCTAGCAACATCAGAAACAAGCTCCCTAACCCAGTTTATTTTTAGAGAGATGACAGGGAAAAGCATATTTCTGACTTCATTGAAAGCCATAGCATGATCTTTAATGGAAGGAATTTGGCTCCAAATACAGTCGGGGTCTGTGAAGCTCCAGCTACTGTAGTCACAGCATAGGATTTTTCTCTGTGGTTTGGATGTGGTTATGAAACTCTGTTGACATAAAAAGAGGTGAGAGAAATGATTGCAACAGGAATGAGAGGAGTCTGTGGTTGGAGTGGACCTAGGAGTCAAGAGTTTCTGGGGCAAAAGCCTACAAGTCACCAGAATGAAGACAGGACAGTGCTTAATCTCAGAAAGACACAGTAGGATCTGCTGAGCTCCTACAGAAGAGCTTATGGACTGCAGTCTTCTTGTTTTGCTGCAAAGAGCTGTGCAAGACTTCAGTCTCCTTCCTGGAAGCATTTTGAAACTGGCAAGTGTTAGGTGTAGTACAGCATAGAAGATGTCAGAATGAATTGATTCCCATTACCCAAGGTCTGCTTAAATACATTTGGTTATCATAAACCTTCCCCGGAAGTGAACTTTGCAAGCTCCCACTGTGCTAGCCATAAAATCGCAGTAGCCTTCCCTTTCTTTTCTTTCATAGTCCAACAGCTGAGTTGTAAAAAAGCACTCAGAACTTAGTGCTATACTTCCAGTACTTTTAGCTTTACTAAGCAATTTTCAGAGCATGACTGAAGTCAGTTTATTTTGTTCAGGGCCAGCAAGTGGAGGATCTCATGATGGCCTTATTCCTTGGACAAGATTCTGCAAGGTATGAAAACAGTTTAAAAATCGAGGTGGAAGAGAGAGCTCATCTTAGTTTGTTGTGAGTTTTGTTTGGGCTTTGTTTGTTCGTTTTCCCCCCCAGGGTGCTTTCTTTTTCAGTAGCATACCCTGATTATTCTAGAGATTACGTGGTCATGGGAGGGTTTGGTGGTGAGGTTAAAGTAGCAGCATAAGGAGGAAAAAGAGCTTGCAATAGCAAGGAATGGATGATTTTGAGATTGCTTTTGATCAATGTAAACTCTTCAGAACAGAAGGGATCTTTCAAAGATCTTCATTGTTACCAATGCAGTTGCTATTAATAGAATAGTTCTCCATTTTGACTATTACAGAAAATGTAAACAAAAAACCAGCAAGATGAACAGTTCTTCTGTATCATAGTGAATGACATTTTCCAGACCAGGGGCAACTGGATTAGGGTGAGGATTAGCACAGGATGGGCAAGAGGGTCAGTATGATGACAGAAAGACACATCATGAGATTTCATAACCCTCGGTGCAGCAAGACCTTCACATTTTCTTTGGCTTTAGACCCTAAACAGGTATAGATAAGCAGGAGATTACAGCAGGCAGGAGCAGGCTCTGGAGGAAGAGCAAAGCTCTGGTGACCTACAGGCACTCAAATTCATTAATATGGATGTCTCATGAGATAGTAAGATCCACGTCTGCAGAGAACATGTCTCTAAGCTATTCTGCTAGCCAGCCTGGTTGAAAACCCCCTGGGATGGGTTTGGATGTCCAAGAACTCCAATAAGGACAGTGGCCAGACAGGAACCAGAGCCTTTTATCTGCTCTTAGACCAGTGTTGTTGCGCGCAATCATGTGTTTGTGGGTGCTGTAGGCTCAGACAGGCATTTCTCCTGCACTGCCTTTTGCTTTAAGATTCAGTACATGCTTCATTCCCAGTAGTTTCTGTCCTTCTGGCATGGAGAAACAGAAAGGGAAAAAAAGTCATATGAGAATATGGGGAGGGTAGAAAAGAAGAGGAAGAAAAATGCAAGAACAAGTATATACTGGCATGATCAAGACCTTGCTTTCCTCTCTGCCTAACAAAACTCATGTCTCATTGTCCCTGTGTCATCCCCTCCGTCTCTCCATATTCTGAATTTCAGGAAAATATAAATGATAAAAATTTCCCCTTTTGGCTGTGGATTGAGGGAATCCTGGAACTTATTAAGAAACACCTCTTGTGTCTCTGGAATGACGGGTAAGACCTGAGTAAAGTTAAAGATGCAGTCACTGCCTGAGACCTCTCATTTAGGCTAGCAGTTGCATCTTCGGGTTGTGAGGTTGTTTGTGCAGATACTTTGGATCCAATAAATTTGAACAGGCAAGTAGAAAACTCTGAGGCAGATGAATTCTACTAGTGAGGAAGCCTTTGAGGCAACTGCTAACAGGAAAAGCAGATGACCAAGTTGGCCCATTTAAGTCACAGAGCTCTTTGAAACTTGTGTTTTAAAAATTCATTTTAAATGTGTGTTTAAGATAGCATAAAATGGCAATAACATATCCCTAACAATTTCTAAAGACAGCTTGCCCTAGCAGCCACATAAAGAGAATAGCAAAACCAATGAAAATCTTGTGCACATTCATGAATGTTATATTTTCTTTTGGTTTGGCTCTGCTACCACTGTAAATCAGCTCTTTCTACACCCTAGGACAGCACCAAATAAAACTGAAGTACAAGTCATGAAGTGATCATCCATCTTAAAATAAACCCCAAGAAACCAACCCCCTGCCCAGGCAAACGTTGTAGTGAGCTGCCTGGAGGTGGCAGCAGCCAAACTCTGAACGCCTGCACTGTCAGCCCAGAACACAGCACTCTTCACTGACTTTTAAGAGTATTACTGACCAGCAAGACTCTGCCAGATGGACACACGGTTCCATTTGCCCTCTAATACTGATTCAGTAAACTTTTGATTCTGGGATTTGCAATTTCAGAAGTAATTGCTGCCTGAACTAGGTTTATCCAAAGTCACAATCCTGTGTTTTAGCTTTAGCCATATTATGAAACCACATCACATAGCACACTCGCAGTAGAGCATCCTAGCATCCCACAAGTTTGCAGGATCAAACATCAGGATTGCTTTGTCTTGCTCCATTCAGCAACAGGCTTCACATTATTACCCCCAGCTCCAGATGAGTTCTGTCAAAGCCCTTTATAGTACAAGCCTTGTTTCACTGCCCAAGACCTACCTGTTTCTTAGCTGAGTGGGCTGCAGTGCAGTGGGAATGTTTGCCACCATTACTGAAGCAGAGTTGCAGTTGTGTCCTGTTTGGTGTCCCACCTCAGGCCAGTGGTGTGCTTACAGGATTGGCTTTGCATATGGCTTTGATACAGTCTTGAGCAGCATCACTCATTGCTTTCAGTGGTAAGAGCAATAGCCCATTTAGGCTTTAACAGAAAGAAGAGGTGCAAGTTAAATCCTGAATGGAACCAAGCCCAGAGATTTAGTGCTATTAGCTTATCCTCTCTCAGCTGGTTTTGTTAGATAGTCACAAATCTTTGTTTCCTAGAAAGGCAAAAAAGGGAAACCAAAGGGAAAAGCCTGTCCAACCACAAAAATACTTAAGGGGGGAAAGAGACAAATCTGTAGTATTTATTAGGATAGAGACTCCCCCTGTATACAAAGGAGTAAGTATTGCAGCCTCAAGAACACTTATCTTTCTTTAACCCTAAAAGTTAATTATTGATGGAGTATTTTGAGGAAGAAGAGGCAGTGAAAAAAATTCTGACCTCTGGGAAAAAAACCCCAAACCAACAACAAAACAACAGACAATCCAAAACTAAACAGTTGGAGTTTGGCTAGGATTATGCCCTAGTACTGGCTTGAATGACTGTTTCACCAGTACCTGTTAAGGTCAATCAGTCTCTTATAATTACCACACTTGGGCTTCTTGCCTACACAATAACATTTGCTGAGCATAGTAAATTTGAGGGGTTGAAGTCACAATCTTAGCAGCTCATCTAGAAGACCTGCACAAAGAACAAAGCAAACCCCACACCTGCAAGAATGCAATCTGGTAGCTAGCAAACTGTATTTCAGCAGCCAAAGAGGAGAGACAACTGTTCCTTAATATAGTTTGGAATTTAAACCTGCTAGCTGGGATTTGACTGCATTACACACATACAACTTCACTTCTGCTCCCACAACCCAGCTTTGACAGCAAAAAGGACAATCTGTTTTACTGCAAGCTCAAAAAATTGTTTGTATAAGCCACCAGGCCAAAGTGAGAGTGCTGAGGAAAGCTGTGGTGATTCGTGGATTCACCTATGGCTCCATCCTGTCAGTCCTACTGCCAGCTTTCCAGCTGTTCACAGGACAGAGCCTTCTGTGAGGGTTTTACAAGTACTTCAGCTGTTTTAAGTGACGAAAGCATTTTAGTTTTCCTAGCTAGCCCAGCACAACTTGGCTGTTATGTTGAGGAGTAACTCAGCTTTTTCTTTTCAATGTTACAGCTGCATCATGGGTTTCATCAGCAAAGAGCGAGAACGTGCTTTACTGAAGGACCAGAAGCCAGGAACATTTTTATTAAGATTCAGTGAAAGCAGCAGAGAGGGAGCAATCACATTTACTTGGGTAGAGGGATCTCAAAACGGTAAGTCAGTAACAGAGCATCTCTTTGTTGATCTTCTTACACAGAACAAGAAGTCTTTATGCTCTTCTCCTCCACACTGAGAGCCAATACAGCACAGCACACCACCCCAGCAGCCCTCATCTTACAAGCAGCAGGCCACAAGCAGTACCATGCATATGCCACAGTTGGTGTCATTCAAGCCACACAGGGCTGTTCAAGGTTTTAGCTAGGAGGAGTAGTAACACTTTCCAGGTACTGCTTCTAAACTGGAAGTTTGGTAGGAAAACCTGGCCAGATTGCCTCCCCTGCCTCCTTAGGTTCTTTCCTAGCAAGTATCTCCTTCCAAACCCCTATCAACTTTGCTATCAGAGAGTTCTTTCCCAGGAAAAGTTCACCACCATCACATTCATCCCCCTGCTGCTCTCTCCCACTACAACACTCCTCTCTCAAACTGCTTTCTTTAACTTATGGCCCATACTATATTTGTTCCTTCCTTCCCACATTCTCCCTAGGCAAACCACACATCCATTTTATTTTCCAAGCAGTTCTCCTTCCTCCCATTGTCCAGAAGGATCAATGAAGAGCTTGTTTCCTCAGTTAGCTGGACTATTCTCTGATCCTCTCTCAAGGAAGTCTAAAGACTTCACAGCTACAAAAAGACATAACCTCTTCATCCAGTCAGGGTTCTTCCCTTATACTACTCACATCAACCTCACCTGCCAGCATGGTGCAGGTGTTCTGCACCACTTCCCTTGGGTGAGCCCAAGGCCTACAACACCGGGAAGAGAAACTGCTGAATGTATTTCCCTTTGCTGCTTTCATACCTGAGACATCCAAAAGCTAAGCAAAGAAGGGTGATAGTATTTGGAGCATTTGGGGAGGCTTTATCTGTCTCACTTTATGATTCATAAGAGCTCCAAGTAGAGCTAACTTCCTAATAGGCAACAGAGTTTGAATGACATAACTTGGAAGAAGGATGAAAAGGTAGCACAACTTAAATTGTTTAATGCAATACTGCAGTTAATGTCCATGGAGAAGTCACACCAGTCATTCTGAATACATAACACACTAAGAGCCATCACTATGCTATCCCCCCATATGCCTTCCTACCCCACAGAACAAGCATAACCCACAGAATAGGCATTAAATATTCACCTGCAGCACAGTAGGTGTCATCCAGGTAAGGCTTTTGCTCATGTGAGCTCTGGAGTTGTGGAAGCAGCTGCAGCTTGTCTTGACAGTTTTAGAAAGAAACTTTGAAACCACCTTTAAGGGTTGCTTACCTCTCTTCTCTGCAGAGCTCCAGTTCCACTCAGTAGAACCCTACACCAAGAAGGAGCTCTCTGCTGTGACTTTCCCTGATATCATCCGCAACTACAAAGTGATGGCAGCTGAAAACATTCCTGAAAATCCACTGAAATTTCTGTACCCAGACATCCCCAAAGACAATGCCTTTGGCAAATACTACTCCAGGCCTACAGAGGGTGAGTGCTGGAACTGGCTCATACCGAGTAAGCTTGATGGTTGTTCCTGACGTGCTTGGGCACTATAACTTATGCAGCATGGAAAGAAAGGGAGCAGTTGGCCTCAATGTCTTGGCAGCCCTACCTATGCTGAGCTGAAAGGTCAGAACAGGCACCTCAGCTTTATAGCTTAAAAACAGGTCTGTTTTTAAATAGGCACAACATGAGATCTAATCAGTTCAGAAACTGAACACCTGAGTGTTGCTGGCCCTCCAGTTCAGCTTTCATGCGAGCCTGTGAGCTGTTTCAGAGATGTAGATTCCCACTAATAGCCAAAACCATGGCTGGTTATGGGAGGAATTTCCCCCTCCCTGTTTTCTAGAGGGAAAAAGGAAAATCTGACTAAGAAATGGAATAAATTAACCATAGTGCTGTAAAATGCATGACAGAGAGACTTGGCCGTTATCTCAATCATAGACTTTATTTTTGGTATAATATGGCAATGTGAAGTAAACTTGATGAAAAAAACCCCAACACAAGCTTTTTTTTTTCCTCCTTGAAGCACCAGAACCAATGGATGTGGATGGTCCCAAGGGAACTGGTTACATCAAGACTGAGTTAATCTCTGTATCTGAAGTGTAAGTTCCCACAAAAATTCTGGATTTTTAAGAACCAATCATACCTTTTTAGCTGTAGTTCATGTGTCTTCACAGTATTTAAGGTGTGGGTGCCTCTGTCAGAGCTTTCCTCTTTGAGGATCTGATCACACCACATTCATGCATTGCTCTGTTTAAAACACCATTTTTAGGTAAAACCCTTAGAAACTTGCAGGTAATTGTATTGGCAAGTAATTTCTTGAAAAGCAAGTTCTTGTCTTTGTTGGACTTCTTTGATTAGGATGTGCATCCCTGAGTAGCCCCAGTTTTCGTTTAAAGCCGTGCTGGCTTTGCAAAGCCTGGTGTGACCCTTCTGGACATGGAGCCAGACATGTTAGCCCACATGTGCCTCATTCGTTTAGCGAAGGCTTATCCCTGCTCTTCTCCATTAGTCACCCTTCCAGGCTCCAGTCTCCAGAAAATCTGCTCCCCATGTCTCCTGAGGAGTTTGATGAGGTGTCTCGGATGGTGGGCCCAGCAGAGATTGATACTGTGGTATGTATCATGAACCACCTTTTTGCAGGAGGGTTGAGCTGGAATTTGCTGTTACCTCTTTTTCCCCCTTCAGAAGCACCTCAGACACTTAACACAAGTGAACACATCAGAATATGTCCCCTCAGATGCACAGGAAAAGCTGGGGATCGAGTTAGGCTGGGTTTGCCATCAGTTCTTCTTTCCACTTGCACATATAGAGGTGAAGAACAGGAGAGCAAAGCTTCCTGTCTGTACCTTGCAGGTGGAGGGGAGATGGGAGGGGAGGAAGGAGTATTGCTGTAGTCCTTCCTGTGGGGTCTGGGAAGGGGGAGCCCACAGAGCAGGGATGCAGTTTGGAAGTGTTGCCCTGCCAACGCTGGCAAGGCAGTGCCTGTTAACAGAGCAGTGTTGTCCTTGTGGAGTGTGCTTCAGGGAAAAAATGCAAATTAAAGTATGGAGGTCGTGCTCTGTGGTTAGCAAAGACTAGAGCATTGGAGCTTGCCTTGGCTTGTTTAATGGCTGTTTCCTTTTCTACTTACAGATGTGTACACGTATGCCACTCTGAGCTTTGGGTCAGCTTTTTACTGTGTCAATAACATGGCTGATTAGCTTATGCATCCTGCACTGCAGTCAATACCTTGGTGACATGCTTCACTTCAATTCTTTGGGGTCTCAACCTGAA